CAGCAGCCAGCTCCCGCCTCTTTGCCCATTTTCGATTATCCGGGAGTGACGCGATGCCAAGATGGCGACGGCTGGCTCCGCCTACTTTAGGGGCCATTCACATATCGCGTCTTTTGCGCGCTCAAGTTTGTTATTTGAAATGTAGCCGCGCGGCAGGCGCGCTCATAATGGAAGCGACGCGGTCGCGACGCGCACGCGGTGCGACGCGCTCATTTTTTCCAGGCGCTTCCGCGCCGCATGGAGATGAAAACATTTCAACTTTTCAGAATGCCGCAAGCGCACCGCGGGTCATGTGACAGGAACCAACCAATCAGCTTCATCCTTTCCCGTAACAACATTGAAAGCTCAGTCAAGATGAAGGAACAGCTGATCATAGCTGTACAGCGATAGACATTTTTAAATAAATTTAGTAGCAGAGCTACTGCAAGCGATTTTTAGTGCTGCAAATACATTTATCCTTTGCTGAAACTTCCGCGTCTTCATGAAGTGCGCAGTGTATTTAATAATTTATAATTGATATATAATTATTCATGAAGGCAGTTCATTTGCGCGCAGAATTGTAATCCCATAAATGGCCCCTTAGGCTTCAAAACGCTCGTCGGAAGTCTACGGGTTACGTCACGGACACTACGTCCATGTTTTTATACAGTCTATGGTAGAAACGAGCGCACAAATCAATTTACGACAGAGTTCACTTCACGTGTGATTCGTGAAACATTCGTATGCCGCCAATCTCATCGTACGAATGATCGCACGTTAATAAATGTGGCGGCAGAAAACAATCGTCATTTGAATATCACGCCCCTAAAAACAACCTGGTTTAGAAGCCTCGCCCCTAGAGTTTACGACACGAAGAAACGAAACCCGGCCAAAAAGAGGAAGTAGGCTAATCTCGTCAAAGAGAAATTGATCTTACTCCAAAAACATCCGTTAACCTTGTAATTGCAAACTATCAGGCTACATTAATATATGTAATTTATATGTATATTAAAATACTAAATATAAACAGATTTAGTTCCTCTCACTCTACAACAAATATTTGAAATTTAACGGTATTCAGAACAAGAATGAAAAATAAGTAGTTATAAAATTATATATTCAACTATAAAATAAAACTAATTAGGCTATTGTGGCATTCATTATAAACAGCATATAAAGTCAAACAAAACTGAAACGGCATTGGGCTCACGAGCCTGTCTCATACCACAAGAATCCAAATGTTTCCATTTTTTGCCATATTTGTAACATTTGTTTGCATAACTATTATTCATTATGTAGCCTAAACATGGCTTTATACTTCACTCATGTTCTAATATCCATGTAAAATCCTTCACATGCGCAAAAATGTTTGTTTGGGCACTGCACGCTGATTTTACAGCGGACCTAAAATAAACAGTGTAACTCAAATCTTTGCAAAGCAACTTTACAGAAAATTACGTTTCAGTAGCTTATCAGTGGTGACTGTCAGTTAATGTAGCTACATATGGCAGAAATGTACAGAAAAATCAATTAAAGACGTAATCAACCAGACGATGAAAAGACATAAAGAAAATAAATAAAATGCATTAAGAGTGTCACAAAAACGAGCGTAGCCTATAGG